GTAAGGACGTAGGAATACCTAGCGTATCCCCGGATGAAGTTACTATAGTAGCTCGTCAGGCCTAGGAAGCTGCGAAGCTGCTTGGCGGATGTGGGGGCGGGCCACTCCGCAATAGCAGTGATCTTCGCGTCGTCCATGTGGAGACCCTGGTCAGACACGTAGTGTCCTAAGAAATCCACTTTGTGCTGGGCAAAGCGGCACTTGCTCAGCTTGGCGTAGAAGTCATGTCTGCGCAAGCGGTCAAGGACGTCCCGGAGGTGTCTGAGGTGCTCCTCAAGGGTACGACTGTAGACCAGGATATCGTCGAGGTAGATGAGAACGTACTGTTCCAGGATGTCCCTGAAGATGTCGTTCATCGCCCTCTGAAAGGTAGCGGGTGCATTGGTGAGGCCGAATGACATCACCGTAAACTCGTAGTGGCCGAAGCGCGATCGGAACGCCGTCTTCGGCTGGTCGGCTGCAACGACGCGGATCTGATGGTAACCGCTACGAAGATCAATCTTCGTAAAGAAGCGGTTGCCTGCTAGGCGGTTGAACAACTCATCGGAACGAGGCATGGGGTAGCTGATTTTAACCGTGTAGCGGTTGAGACCGCGATAGTCGATGCAGAGACGGAGAGTTCCGTCCGCTTTGCGAGCAAAGAGGACGGGTGCACCCCACGGGGAGTTGCTGGGTTTAATGAATCCCAGTCTCAGGAGCTCCTCAAGCTGACGCTTGAGTTCGGTGGCCTCGGGGATCGAGAGTCTGTAGGGTGCCTGGTGGTGAACACGATAGTCAGGCACAAGCTGAATGGACTGCTCGACGTCACGCATCGGTGGGATGCCGGCGTACGAGAACGACGATGGGAAAACGTTGTGGTACTCTCGGATGAGGTCACGAACTGCGGGCTCCAAGTCAGCCGTATATCGTGCGAGTTCCTCAGCGTCAGCGTCCGCGCGCGACGGCGGGGTGGACTCGACAGACGGCGGAGGGACGGAAGTAGAGATGGGAGCCATGGAGATAGAGGGAGGATCTTGCTCCAGAGGGATGAGCTCGGCGTCGGGACAGGGTGGATCATAGTGTAAGAGATCCGTCACGTCCACCATAAARAAGGTGACGTCGTCCTGTCGAATGAAGTGAGCGAACTGCCGAGGCGAGGTGACAGTGATAGAAGGAGATGGTGTGGGCACTGAAGGCTCCGGGGGAGGAGGATCGGGGCGTGGTGTCGTCGTGGTACCTATGAAAGGTACGCGATACGTCTGTCCACACTGCGTTTTGAGAACGAGAGTGTTGGTCGCCCAATCGGCCTCGGTGCCGTGGAACCGACGAGACCACGGAGTGCCGAGAATGAAGTCGTACCCCGTTTCCATCACATCGAAATGTGCAGAGGAGCGGTGGCGACGAGACGCCGGGGAACGATCAGTCGGCTCGAGAGTGATGAAGAAGGGGAGGTCGGTGACCGTCTGATCGAAGAAGCGCTGAGTCTTGTCATCCCCTAGGGTAACGGAGATGGGAGTCGGAGACCTTGTCGTGGGTAAGCGGGCTTCCTTCACCACGCGTGGGTGAATGAAGTCGCCTTGAGAACCGGAATCCCACAACGCTGAGTACACCCTCGTGGAGGTCCCAAGTCGTACGGGGATGATCGGGAGGGTGCGATCGGGGTCAGAGAGGATGGCGAGAAGGCGACGCAGTGCAGCGACATGGAGGGTGAGTCGCTCCTGACGAGCCTGGAGCATGCTCAAGTCCAGAAGAGAGGACACAACGTCCTCGAGAGCAAGCTGCTCGCTGCAACGGGCTGAGCGAATGGCTCGACGCGTCGGTAGTCGCGGCGGGGAAGGAGGGGAGATGGTGGTCTGCGGAGGCGCAGACGGTACTGCGACAGAGGGCCGAGTACACTCTGTCGGGTCCTGCGATACCTCAACTCCAGTAGCGAGAGGGGCAAACCTCGACGAAGATGTCGGAAAGCCCACTACTAGGGAGGGCGCAGGTGTACACTGCACCGTGGCTTGGAGGCGCCGTGGGGACGTGAGGCGCCGGGGGGGGACTGAGCACGACGCTGACGAGAAAGGTCAGCGTAGTGGCGGTCGAGGGCGGTAGTGTAAGGGCACCGAGAGGAGGTATGACCATCCAAGCGGCAGCGCAAACACCCACTCCGGCCTAGAATAGCCGCGCGCTCCTCAGGGGAAAGGACACCATGAGGAGGGACGAAGCCCTGATGGAGGTCCTCCTTAGGGACCTCGGGGGGCGACGTGCCAGCGTGACCGGGGCGGCTGCGTGCCCGAGAGACGGCGGAGAGCGTGAGCTGAAGGCGCTCAGCTGCAGGGAGGGTAGAGTCCTCCAAGTGATAGTGGACGGCCTCGCAGAGATCGAGGTCGTCGCTGTGGTCGCCCTCAGGTGACAGTGGGGCAACAGCGTC